CTCTTTTTTTCTATATGCTTTTTCACTTCTCTCATGTTTGTTTCATTTTTGTCCGTTAACAATCTCCATGAAGTATTGCTTACTGTAGCAGCAAACTGCCACCAGTGGATAGGGCATTCTTTTTTGGAGATGGTCATAAAGTAGAGCCTTCCTGCTTTTGTCAAATGTTAACAAAGCAGGCAAAGGGTAATTCAGCCACAAGAACCGTGCTATTCTTTGGAAGAGAGCTCTGGAGGCAGCAAAGCTTAAGTTGTCCAGAGTGTCAAAGAAGCCTGTCATCCAACTGCCAAAGACCCTTGCCCTGCTGCTAAGATAGCCCATGGGTCTCTGGGATACTCTAATGCTGACCTCAGTTTCAGAGATGTAATTTGAGTGAACAACAGTGAAGGGAGGGAATCCCTACTGGGGCTGGGAATCTGAGGTATTCCCTGTGCTTAGCTCCCTAGACTTTGATCCACTTTGTTCACAGAATGCTGACCAGGAATCCGCTCCCATATGCTGTGCAGGCAGTGTCCCTCTTCCACACCAGTGCAGCAACTGTCCCTTCCTGGCGAGACCCATACAGCCGCTACTCAAGCAGTGTCCCTCTTCTGTGTCACCTACAGCAGCCTTTTGCTGCTGTGCTTGACATGGAAGAAGATTGCTGGTCACACAAGCTTTGCTTCATGAGCATTCATGGAAATCCTGCTCCTGCTTCCCTTTCCAAAGTGCAGATATTTTGTATGATGTAGTTACTCAGTCCTGAGAGTGAACAGCCAGTTGTGTGAGTTAAGGATCCAGTTTTTGAGGGCATGCAATCTGAATGCATTGTGCCAGTGGTCAGTACTGCTACAAATCATTCAACAGGTTTGGAAAGCACCGTTGTCCATCTTTTGTACCTCAGAGTGCTTGAAAAACCTACATTAGGCACAGAAGGATGCAAGGTTTCTTTTCATATAACGCACTTTGAATTTAGTTATTCTAGAGTGTAAGCAAATCTCAAAAGTACATTCCTGTGGATAAAGAAGGCCAATGGCTAGACTCAGTAAGTAGACTTATCTAGTTATCTGGGACAGCATGTGGCAATTCACCAAGGTGCAGTGTCCAGATACCAGCTGTTTTTGTGTGAGACAGTGGGATCCCTCTTTGAATATCTTCCTCAAGATAAATGGGAGCATGCCAAAGTTATTAATGTTTTAGCAATGCAATTTTCATGAAGGGAATATGTCTTGGCATCAAGACAACTTGTGATGCTATGGCTATGATGGCTTCCATAGGCCAGGGGCATTCTAGTTCCCACTCAGTCATGAAACTCACTGGGTGACTTTGGGCCCATCACCCACTCTCAGCCTAACCTACCTTACAGGGTTGTTACTGTGAGGATAAAATGAGCCTGTCTTGGTTTTCTCACAAAAAGAACAGTACCTCTTAGCATCAATACTGCTGGTTATGATAGCTGTCCTACAAACAGAGGCACAGGCCTCTGAACTGTTGAAGACGCTGTACCAGATTACTCAGATGAGCATGAGAACCAAACTATTGTGGAGCAAGAAGGAGATGCTATGGCAGGAGGGAGAGCTCTTAGACCATATCAGGAGGTATCAGGCCAATAGAATGGACCAAGTAAGCATAGTCTGTTGCTCCTACTGCCTGGCCCTCCAGCAGCATGAGCCACCACAGGGATGAAGTCAAGGCCTTTCCTAAAAGGAGGGAAATGTTCCAGTTTAGCTTCAGCTCTTTACATGTGGTCAGATGCTACTTACACATATCAAATGGATTGTCATTTTGATTTATGCCAGTTGTAAACCTGTAGTGCTCAGTAAAGGACTGTGTTTCTGTGGTAAGACAGTCTTCTGACAATCTCTCTGTCAACCAACCTTTGGAACTCACTGATCATCTTTTGTCTGAGAATGGAAGAGCATAATATTGGAATGTTAGTTTTTTCATCGTACAGACAAGTTACAGGATGATCTCCCTCCTGTCATTGCCTATTCCTTAAAGGTACTTCTGGAGAAAATAGATAGCCTTCTGGTGAAAGAAGCCATATAGCAAACCCCATTAAAAGAGGTATTGGAAGAGCTCTACACCCATTAAATTCAGTGTGGTATGATGGTTAAGGTGTGTGTGTGTGTGAGTGTTTATGCTTCCATTTATATGCTGCCTACTACCGTAGTCTCAGTGTTGTACTGGAAACCTGGGACTTTTGGGTCCAGTCCCTGTTGACCTGTGAAGCTCACTGGGTGACTTTGGGTCAGTCACAGACTCTCAGCCTAACCTACCTCACAGGCCTGTTGTTGTGAGGATAAAAATGGAGTAGAGAACTATGCGTGCTGCCTTGGGTTCCTTGCAAGAGGAAAAAAGGCAGGTTATAAATGCAGTGAAATAAAACAATAACACTGCATCTTTCTGAAAAAAGACAGCAGTATTTTTCAGTCCTAGACCTGAGGAAAGGTGAAATCCTAAGCAAACGCAGAAGGTCACACCTGCATCAGTCCTTCCAATTTCAACAAAAAGTTTAATTCACATTGATCACACCAATGGGTCTGAGAGGCACATATTTCTATATCGCCTTCAGTTGAAAGTACCATTGTTTCCTTTAGTTCTTTGTCGCTTCTGCTACCTGCCAGCTCCAGGTGTTGTGCTTTGGTCCAGCAATGGCATCCACAGTCTTCACCAAATATATATTCATCATGGCAGCCCACCTTTGGATGAAAGGTGTGTTGATGTGCCTATGAAAGATGGGTCTTCTGGGCTGCCTCTGTGACATCTTCTGTAGGATCTTGGTGTGTCTGTCAACATGAAGAAATCCCATGTGTCACCAATGCAGTGCATCCAATTCATTGGTGGTAATTCCACAGTGAGCCAAGTATTTCTACCTCAGGAATAGACATTTGCCCTCATAAGCAGTGCAGGAGATAACAGCCACTCATAGGGTTGTTACTGTGGCACAGATTCAAAGGCTGCCAAAGTAGGTGGTGGCCACTACTGGTATTGTGAGTATGACAAAAGACAGCTTCAGAATTGGTTCATTCACACCTCCAACCCATTATGAGGTTCTCCACTTCCCTAGATATGTTACCAATAGCCTGATTTAGTAAAAAGACATTTCCCATTTTGTGAGCAATGTTTATTCTTCCAGATGTTTACAACCAAGGTTTCCTTGCAAGGATGGGGTACTCCTTGCTGTTCTCTCACTGCTTATAAGTTAAGAGTCAGAGACAGAAATTTCAACCTTTGTAGCTTCTGACCATTGAGAAGGCACTGAGAATTTTGACACACAACTCAGAGGCCACTTAGTTCACATAACAATACCTCTGTAATCATCTTCCTGAATAAACATGGTGATATGAAGCTGTCAACTTTGATCAGATCATCACTTTCCATTGGTGTATCACCTGTCAGATTGGACTTCTTGAGGGACACATTGACAACTGCACTGCAGCACCTTTGGTTGGACTTACTTGGTGTCGCATGTGTGGGCACTAGAGAAGACAGTGCTGTCCATTCTTTTCCTTCATTGGGACACTTTGGATGTGTAATCTGCTTGTCTGGGCAAAGGACACTGTTTCCCTAAGTTTCTTCAGACAATACATTAGGGAATGCGCTGTCTGTTTCTGCCCTTCCTGCCCATCACCAGAGTACTGATGAAGATCAGGGCCAAAAGGAGACACTGCATTCTTGCCGCACTGTGGCAGCCAAAGCAGCCTGGTTCATCCCTCTTTTTCAGGTCTCCCTTGGGGACTCACTTTTATCTTCTATCAATCACAAATCTGTTCTCATTGGATTGAGGTAGGATCTGACACATACTCTGCATTACAGTATGGAAGGAAGATGCATTCACCATCACACTGACTTCAGTTCCTTAGGTGTGCAATGCATCCTCAGTGCATCTTGCAAACTGGCTTACAAAGCTTTCTTATATCTGTACATAGGCTAATTTCTGTAGGATTGCTTTTTTTCTTTTTGTTTTGAAGCTTAATTATTTTTATCTAGCTTAGTGCCTGTGCTGCAGTTTCATGTGACTCTTCCGACTCAAGGACTGAAATTGTTGTTTGTAGGGGTGTATCTGGCAGCTATTTTGTCTAGTTACCTACAGATGGGATGGCTTCACCTTGTTTCCAAGGGGCAAGCCATTTGTCTGCAGGATGCATAATCTTACTCCACCCAATGGTCATCTGGTCCTGAGCTGAAATCTGTTCATTATACTGTAGGTCTTGAACCGCTTGCTGTGGTGAACATATATCTCTTCCCATAGAAGGCAGCATTCCTGGTAGTGATTACCACAGCTAGGAGGTCTAGTGAGTTGTCTGCCTTGCCTTGCAAGTAGACCTGCTTCACGTGACCTTCCATCATGACAAGGTCTGAACTCTGACTTGATGCTTTCCTACCAAAGGTTCTCTCTCATCTCAGTCAGGACATGGTGCTACCAGTATTCTTTCCATCCCTCCTCTGCCGGAGTCTCCCTTTCACACTTTAGATGCTCAGCATGCACTGGGATTTGTTAAAGCCTTTCATCAATCACCTTGTTTGCTCATATGCTATGGAGACACTTGGCAGGAAGTGCTTATGTCAGCTACAAAAACAAGGCATCTGCTTTCTCCATAGCATTTATTTGAAAAGCAAAAATATTTTTAAAAGTCTTAGTGTAAGAAAGATAGGAAATACTGAATAATAACATAGAAGGTTGTATTGTGGAATAATTTCACTATTTTAAATGATTTGCTAATCTTTGCAGTAGTTAAATGTTAGAGGGAACAAAGGAATGTCTTAACCAAAGAGTAGAGGAAAAAACCTTAATATTCTGCGACTGATAGAAGAGCCACCTTCGTAGTCTTTGTAGCTTGCGTGTGCTTGCTGGCTTGCAGAGATTGCTTTGTCTAAAACAATTTTTTCAGATGTTTTGCTACAAGTATTTTTATGTACTCAAAAAGTGTAGTGATTGGCTTCTGTTTGCAGATGAAAAAAGAGAAGTACTTTAACAAGTATGTTTTCTCTCGCCCCACCCCTTTGTTTTTTTCAAGGTGGAGGAGATGGTGCATAACCACATGACATATTCATTGCAGGATGTGGGGGGTGATGCTAACTGGCAGCTGGTGGTTGAAGAAGGTGAAATGAAGGTAAGTAGAACAGTGTAAAGCTTCATATTTTGCAAATCTAAATGAATATTTTCAACTGAAGGCAAGTATAGAAAAGCTTTAAACAAAATAAGGGTTCGATCTTATACACGTTTAGACAGAAACCAGTTCTAAAAGTCCTGGAAGACTTTCTTCTGTCTAAGCATGCATATGATGTATGTAAATAGATAGTTAAATTTGGTATGATTGTTAAAGGTATTTGAATTTTCAAGCAAGCTGCAAGTGAACTGGTTATTTCTGCAGCCAATACAGTTGGAAGAATCTTACAGCAAGTTTTGTTCCTTGTTGATGAAGTTGGTCTTCTAACCTTCATTGTTTATCTGCCACTATTTCCATAAAGTCTCTTATCAGAAGGACTTATTCTGTTACACACAACTTATTGCAAGTGATCAGGGATTCTGTTTAGTTTATATTTTTCTGTTTCAAGTTACTCTTTGATTTTAATATTTACAGTAGAGCTAGGTAGTTCTGTTAACAAAACAGTGACATTTGCAGTGGTTTTTGGCAAAAAAAATTAAAAATTAAAATGGTGATCTGCCACAAACTTTCAGTAGAGTGCTATAAAGGTCAGATTCATTTTGTTCTCACGGTAAAATGGACCCTTTTGCTGCCCTGTAAGAGGGTGCAGCTACAGAATTTGGTGGCATAGTGCAGCCCATGAGAGAGTCCAGGATGTAAAAAGTGATGGCTAGATCCACCAAAGTTGCCTGTCCCAATTTAGGGCTAGTATTACACTGGGTTCCTCATAAAGATAAAAATCTTATTCTGAATTTACTTATCTAGAATTATATTTACTCATTCAATTAAATTTTAAATGGATTCTTAAGATTAGATGCATTTTGGATGAAGTGAAGTGAGTGTTTTTTAAACATTTTGTATTTGCTTAAAGGTATATAGGAGGGAGGTGGAAGAAAATGGCATTGTACTAGATCCTTTGAAGGCCACACATGCAGTCAAAGGTGTTACAGGGCATGAGGTCTGCCATTACTTCTGGAATGTTGATGTTCGTAATGATTGGGAAAGTAAGTAACCCAGTTTATTGTGAGATTTTTTTTGTGGGGGGAGCTAGATATATACAAAAACAGTACCTATTTAATTATTTTGATTCAATTATTCTCTTTTTTACATTTTAGCAACCATTGAAAGTTTCCATGTTGTAGAAACTTTAGCTGATAACGCCATCATAATCCATCAGACACATAAGGTAAGAGTTTACCTTTTTATATAAGACCTCTTGATAAGACTTATTAATTATTGATGGCAAACTAGTGAATAATCAAATCCATGAAAATTAAACCCATGCAAGTCAAGATTTGACTATATATAATGTTCACTACTATCCATGGTTTCATGCAACTTCTGGGAGGCTTGAAACCTATCCCCCACAGATATGGGGGTCCTACTGTACATACAAAAGCTCAACATGGTATGATAAGGTATATCATCAGTCATAGTTCCTAAGAAAGTTTAGAAAGTGGTTGTGAATAGGTGCACTAAGAGTTTCTAATACCGTTTCCAGTCAATAAGCTTCTATTACAGGGGGTTGTGTCTAATTGTTGCATGAGTCAATGCGTAAGATCATGCAACCAGTCTTTTTACCCTGTGTCCCTGAAAAGACTTTCCAGAGGGTTTTTGCCTTGTTTGGTAGGCATGGACTATAAAGCTACATTTTGTTTAAAAGTTTCATTTTAGCGCATACAGCACATGAGCGACATGTTGCCCACACTTGCCTTCAAATTGAGACATTCAGATTGCCATTTTGCCCTGGACTACTTGGCCTTGAACAAGCCATTTTCTTTGTCACTGCAATATGTAATGTATAGGGTTGTTAGGATTACAGAAAAGTGTGTGAAGTGTTTGAGCACTCTAAAGTATTATATAAATACATGCTGCCTTTATCTTTCCCTGCAGAGAGTATGGCCTGCTTCTCAACGTGATGTGCTATATTTGTCTGCCATTAGAAAAATACCAGCTTTCAATGAAAATGACACTGAAACATGGATTGTCTGCAACTTTTCCGTGGAGCATGATAGTGCCCCTGTAAGTAAATCATCCAGTTCTGTGAAAGAGTTTACTTCTCTAACAGTGTAACCAACCTTCTCTTCCAACTGCCAAAATAGAATGCATATGTATACCAGTGAAGGGGAAAAGATAATTATGAAATTCAAGAATGTATTTTCTTAATTTAAATGGAACTGGAAGGACAGTGTAGGCTGTATTATTTTGTCATAAGCTGTATTCCATCAACATGTAAATTTATATTTTTATATTTCTTGATAGTTGAACAATCGATGTGTTCGTGCCAAAATAAATATTGCTATGATATGTCAGACACTGGTAAGCCCACCAGAAGGAAATAAGAAAATAAGCAGAGACAACATCCTATGCAAGATTACATACGTAGCAAATGGTAAGACATTGCTTTTTACAACTTCACATTAACATTTGCCATAGATTCAGTGTGGTGAAATGGTCCCCACCTTCCAGTCACCCTTTCTTAATGAAACATCCAGTTACAGCCACTTGGTAAATAATAACTTTTATATAAATTTAAAAGATGGAGAAGGAAGAGAGAAAGAATGATGTTCAAAATCCATGATACATTTTCTGGAGAAATTTCAAACTTATTTAAGAAAGAATCAGTAAGATTGTGGTTGAAGCTGAAGTAACATCCAAATGCCTCTGAAACTTTGCCTAACCTTCTGCATCAGGAGTTCCCAATGCAATGCTTATACACATCTCCAGTTGTGGGGGTACCCATTTTTTCTGTTTTTTTTTAATATCTGTATATAGATTTTTTAATTAACTGAGACCCTCTTCAGGCCTGCTCTTGAAAAAGGTACTCGTTACTGTCAGAAACCTTGCAGAATGGTTGGGATCTGGCATGGTGGACTGCAGCAGAAAGGTGAAATCAACAGAAATAAAATGTTGGGTTCTTCTTACATGAATGGAAGTGTTTCTGATCATGCACTTGAATCTCTGTTTCCAGGCATAAACACTGGAATGAAGCTAACTTTGTATTTCCATGTCCACACAGGCTTCTCCCTTTCCGATACAGGGTATTGGTACTCTAATGTTACTGCAGGATCAAACTTAATTTGCTTAAGCTGTTCTGACTATTTGAATTCTATAAAGCTTGGGTTGTAGCCCTCAAGCAGACTTCATGTGGGATGGCAGAGAAGGTAGGGTGGGATCATACAGAGAGAACCGTCCTATACTGTAGATGCTGCCCATCATCAACTTTGTCTTTGCTACCCTTAGCTGCAGCCCCTAGTTGACAGCCCTTAGTTATTTTTTGTGAGCTGCCCCGAGGCTTTGTTGCGATGGGGGCGGCATAGAAATGTTTTAAATAAATAAATAAATAGTTGGAAAATGGTTTCTTGCCTTTACTGTAAAAAATTGAAATGCATCAGTTGAATTTATTGTTAAAAAAAATACTGTAATTTGAAAGACAGCTGCTTTTGTAAGAGGAAGTATATTCTTAAAGTAAAACGATTTGAATGTAACGCATCATTTTTCTAAAGGTTCAGTTAATAATTCTTGAGGAAAGATAAACATATAAATTTTATCTTTACAAAGATAAAGATGACCACAAGTTGTCAGATTATTATTTAAAAGTGATTACATGAAGCTTCAAGCATAACAAAGCACAACTTTACTGTAAGTTCCTGAAGTACTGAAATTATTTATTCATTGAATATTCTAGAACTTGCACTTTCTATATTAGTAATCTGTTTAATTACATGGAATCTTGGAAGAGTGGTTATAACAAGATTAATCAATATAACTAATAAATTTATCCAAGGCTTATTGTGGGGATAACTCTTAAAAGCAAATTAAAGGGTAGTATCAAAAGAGCATGTACTCGTGACTGAAGAGCAGTAAACTCTTTTGACCACACTGTGTCACTGTGAAGCAACAAAATCTTCTTTGCAGTTTCAGCTTCATAGAAAACTAGCTATTAATTGATACTGCTCTGTGCAGACAATTGTGTTGGTCAGGAATTGTAGTCCATCACATCTGGAGGCACAAGTTTGTGGAAAGATGTTTTACTATGATTTATAGGAGCATGTATGGATTTTGTTACACATACAGGCTGTGGCAACCTAAAGGAACATGATTTCTGACTTGCATTGCCAACAACTTCCTCCAGCAAAAGGTAGAGGAAGGAACAAGAGGATCAACTATCCTTGATTTAATACTAACTAATAGGGATGACCTAGTGGACAAAACAGCAGCTACAGGAACTCTGGAAGAAAGTGACCATGCCATACTTGAAATTCTCAATTATAAAGGAGACAAAGGTTAACTGCAGCCAGACACATACCCTGGACTTCAATAAAGCCAACTTTAATGAACTTAGATCAGTGATAAGTGAGGTGCTATGGCAACTCTTAAAAGAAAAAGGGTGCAATAGGGAAAGGAAAAATTGAAAAAGATTCTCCAGGCACAACTATGAACAATTCCAAGAAGAAAAAAGTGTAGAAGACAATGGGAAACATGTGGCTCCACAAAGAGCTAAGTTACAACCTTAAAGAAAAAAAGAACATGTGCAGGAGGTGGAAGCAGGGCCAGGCCACAAAGGAGGATATAAACAAATAGCAAGGAATTGCAGGGATGGCATCAGAAATGCTAAAGCAGGAAATGAATTGAGAAAAGCAAGGGATGCTAAGAACAACAAGAAAGCCTTCTTCAGGTATATGCAAAACAAAAACCATATGAAAGAGAAAGGTGTCCAGCTGCTTCAGGTGGATGGCAGAATGATAACAGATGACAAGGAAAAGATGGAGGTGCTGTATTCCTATTTCACCCCACTCTTCTCCCACCAGAAAAATCTACAACAAAGAGGATGTACAAGCTGAAAGTGAGAGATGGCAGCCCAAGAGTGACAGACAAATGGTCAGTTTCTAGGTGAAATAAACATGTTCAAATCTCCAGGGCCTGATGAATTCCATCCCAAAGTCTTAAAAGAGCTAGCAGAGGAACTCTCAGAGCCACTGTCTATCATATTCGATAGATCTTAGAAAACAGGAGAAGTGCCAGATGGCTGGAGAAGGCTAACATACTCTCCATCTTCAAAAAGGGAAAAATCCCTGGGAACTACAGACCAGTTAGTCTGGCTTCAATCCCTGGAAAATTCTGGAGCTAATTATTTAAAAAATCAGTTTGCAAGCACCTTGAAGAAAATGCAGTGATTAATAAAAGCGAACATGAATTTATCAAAGAGAAGTCCTGCCAAACTAATTCAATCCCATTTTTTGACTGGGTAACCTCCCAAATGAAGAGAGCCCAGAGGAGGGCAACAAAAAGGAACAGAGAGCTGTGCCACGCTGGGTACTCCTCCTGAGTTGGACCTTGGAGACCAGGCCCTTTTTGTGAGCCTTTTGGGTTGCCCTGTTGTATGTGGATGTAACCCACACGGGACTGCGTGGCTGAGTTTCTTCAACTGTACCGTTGGGTAATTGGGCTTTATCTGTGGGAGGGATTATAGCCATAATCTTATCATTATCAGTATTATGTATTGCATTATATATTGATATTATGTATTGCATTTTGTATTATGGTATTAAGGTTTGTTTTGATTTTGTATCACTTACAGTTAAATGTTGTATTGCTTGATTGTATTGCTCTAGTGTATTATTCTATTTTTATGGATTTTTTTTTTTTGTTCTATTGTAAGCCACCCAGAAAACCCTATGGGCTATGAGGTGGCATACAAATGTAATCAATGAAATGAAATGAAATTAAAATTAATTCAGGGTTTGGAAACTGAAAGAACTGGGGATGTTCAGTCTTGAGAAGAGAAGACTGTGTGGGGATATAGTATCACTTCAAAGGCTGTCACAAAGAGGGCAGGGCATGGAATGATCAATTCAAGTTTCAGGAACCCAGATTCAGGCTAGATATCAGGAAAAGTTTCCCACTGTCAGAGCAATACGACAGTGGAACCAGCTGCCCAGGGAATTGGTGGGCTATCCCACACTGGAGACATTCAAAAAGAAACTGAGTGGAATGGTGTAAATTGTCCTGCAACAGCAGGGAGTTGAACCCAAAGGCCTTCATGGCCCCTTCCAACTTTACTATTCTATGATTCCATGATTCAGATGGGACTTTCATCTGTGCATGTCATAGCTGCCAAATAGACTTGTGTGCTTTTTGAATATTTACACTAGAGGCGCACCATCTTCAGAGGAGCAACACTCATGTTGGAAATTTGACTCTTATGGAGCATCCCTTGTGGTTTTGTGTATGATCACAATTGATATAAATCCCTTCTCTGTTAGTTTTATTCCTGTCCTTTTGTTTGTTCTGTAGACACTGTGAAGTATATTGCCATTTTGCCAATGCCCACAATATGCATAGAAGGATTGGAAAAGGGAATATATGCTTCCCAACTGAACTCTTGGGCACTGCAGATCGTGCACACATCTCCATGGGAATGTCCTCTTTGACTGGCAAATCATTATATCTGGCCTAATTCTTCACTTGGTCCCAGGCTGCTTTCAGACACACACATTTCTAGCACTGGCCAAAGCCCCAACACATGTTGAAATGTTTGTAGTACTACTGTATACTAAATAGCAGACTGTGTGAAGTCAGTAGGTGAACAGAACTCTCTTGGTGCCTGAAGAATGTTCCACCAATGTAGGCAACTCTGACACCAGTGTGCACACTCTGTCATGGGGAACCTCTATGGGCAAAGATATTCAGAGAGATCAAAAGATACCAAGCCCTGCCATCTAGGGTTGGGAGAGAAAGCTGAATCTCATCAAGGTGGACAATTCTTGGCCAAGCTCAAGAAAGGTGCTGTGAACCAATGTTAGATTGGACCTGTTTGCATACAGCCAGCCCATGCATGAGTATGAGTGAGAGAACACCAACAAACAGTGCAGCAGCCACTTCCACTTACAGTCAGTGACCTACAGTTAACCAGATCATAGACTGAGCATAAGTGATGAACCCAGAGCTCTTGGTTGTTTAAGAACTTAGCAAACCGATTATTAACCTATGGCTTTGTTAGATTAACCATTGGTCTGTTTAGCTCTTAAACAATCCAGTGCTCTCAGTTCACACATCATGACCAGCAGTCTGCCTCCTAGCTGATTGCAAGTTGTAGATTAAAAGTTATGAATGCATGGCAGACAACGACTCATTCATTCCTGCTTATATGTGGAAAATTGTGGTTATTTAATCCACATGCAGCCAGTAGGTTAAATAACATAAGAAGGCATGCCAAGTCCTATGCAATTGCTGCTGTACCATTGTTACTTTTACTGCTGTTTGTCACATGAAGGAAACTGTTTTTAGATAACATTTAAACTGAATAAAATAAATACTTCATAAAACTTGTGCCATAAACAGAACAAATATTTAGGTTTCCAGTTGAAGTGTAACCATAAAATGGGCATGCGAATATGATCTTATGTCCCATAAACTTATATCCCATACAGTATCAAATTGCACACATAACCAAGAGGTTTGCACATTTATTAGGGGTTATTTATACAGGCTAATATGTCATGCTAAAATTAATATTTGAAACTAGTATCTTGCATTATATAACATTTTCTGATTAACCACTTGCATGCATTTTTAAGAGGTATTATAGAATTGTACTATAATGCAACAATACTTATTCCTGACAAATTGTCTAGGCAATCTGAACTACCTGTCAAGATAGAACTATGTTCAAAGTCTTTTGAAAAAATATTTGGGGTTAAGGTGACTCTTATTTTTTAACGGTTGCTTTCCGTTTCTGTGATTGAGTGACTTCATTTCTTTCAAGAAATAAAGCATCTGTCTTACAGAGTTCATTCTTCATTAAAACTATCCTTTTCTCATTGCATGTTACATACTGAATATCACTTTTTTAGAGTAACAAATGACTCTCCTCTTTATCTGTAGTGAACCCTGGAGGTTGGGCACCAGCTTCTGTATTACGAGCAGTTGCAAAACGAGAATACCCTAAATTTTTGAAGCGATTCACATCTTACGTGCAAGAGAAAACAGCAGGAAAACCTATTTTGTTCTAGTATTAACAGGTATGTAATACTTGTGTAAAAACCTCCCTAACATTTGCTGTATGATCTTGTTGCTGTTAGAGGCAGTTGTTGTATAAAGTATACTGAGACCCTTGAAACAAATGTTACTTAGACTTGAGTTTAAATGACGCAGTAAGTTATTTGGGATCTTCCTATGATGAGAGGCAAGGAAGATTTTGAATCTTCATCATAATTTTGGAGTGATGCTCTTGTCAGCAAAATGTTACGAAATATGATTTGAACACTGTGATTTCCTTTATAAGCCTGTGCAGTAGGTTGCTGTGACTTTCAAAAGCAATAGAGAATCATGCAACTTATGTTGCATAAGTTATATAACGGATGGCGCCATGCTGAAAATCTCATTACTGGCAGATGACCAGTTTGTAAATACATAATGACTAGAGCATACTTGGCATTTGACTGAGAACTCAGGTGGCAGTTATGCTCTAAAGTCAACTCTAGTATATTTTTTCTATTTTACATTCAGAGCCTCTTTCAAAGGCTATCTTAATTCTAAACTGTCTTATCAAATCGTGAATGGAAAGTATAAGACAATATTGTGGTTCTGATTATCATGTTTCAAATTGTTCATGTTTCATAGTAGTATTTTAGTTATGATGTGATGATCATTGGAATGGAATATTTCATTCATTTTCCATTCCGCCCAGCAGTTGGAACAAGGCTGTGTGAACATTCCACATTGGAGAAATGAACCAAAATGAATGCTCCAAGCTGGAACGTAGGATCTACAGTCTTATGGCCCAAATCCTGGATTCTGCACTCAATTGAAGAAAAACTGCAATGCCATGAAGCTGAACTTTCGCCATCTTCTGCTAGCTCACTTTGCTGAATTGGTGTGTAATTATAAAAATACATGTGTTGATACATGTATATGGCTCTACTTTATTTGCTTGCTTTAGAGGAGAAAAATACAACTTTGGGTCACCAACTTGGTTTATTGCTTTAACTTTTGAATAATTTGAAAAGCTTTTGTTTACTGTGGAACTTCATAAGATATGCTCACAGCTCCTGCTTTTGTGTATGTCTAAAAAGCACAAAGGACAAATGCACATATAGCATACTGTATGTGCTTTATATACACAAAAACTGTGTGTTATAACATTTTCTTCAGGTTTTCAGTAAACTCTGTGTGTCCTTCCAGAGCAGATTTGTGTTTGCTTTGTATAATCATAGTTCATTGCTGCTGGTTTCTGTGATAAATCATCTTACATCAAATGTCTCTTAATACGCGAGGGCTGTCGAGATCCTTATGACTTTGCCTTTTCTATGGTCTTGCTCCTATGAAGACCTTCTGAGTTCTGATGGAGTAGGTGTGAAAAGCTTTATTTTATTTTTCCAGATATCTTTATATTTCTATTGTATTTTTAGTTGTGTAATATGTGCTACAGAAATTTGGTTATTCAACATGATCCAGAAATTTCTTAACCGATATCTTACAAGAGGGCAGGACTGCCAGAAAAAAAAAGCTGCAGCAGTGTCTTGCCCAACTTGCATGCTACAGGTTGCTTTCTTGCAATCAGATATCCTGAAACTGCAAGAAGTTATATTTATTGAAGCAAATTGGACTACAGAAGATAACATTCCCAGTCTTGAAGAAAGAACAAATATGCTGTTTTCTGGGCCTGCCTGCCTGTCTGTCTGTCTTTTTTTCTGTTGAATAAAGCTGTGATATGAAGTTCATATATAAAACCTTTCACATGTAACATTTGCCCTGCTCACACACACACACACAGCCTGCACTGTAAAATGTAAAAATCCATAAAACCTAAAATGCAAAGTTCCCCTTAGTTGCTGTGAGAACTTAACTTTCAAGGATCTGCTGTCTTAAAAATCAAATAACATGAAGGGTGAACTATGAGAAGAGACTTAAGGTCCTTTTGAGGAAATGCCTCACTTGGTGGTTGTGCTTTTAAATGGAGATTATTCAGATGAACTTTTTTAGCTGTTAGATCAGCTTGTGTATATAGAGAGAAAGATAAGATTTGGATATATTTTTGAAAAGAAAGCAGAAAGTCTTATTTCGTATAGAGTAGGTGATGCCTGAAAACAAAGGTAGTACTTTTTAATGAAGATACAGCTGATGAAAATCTTTGAGGTTGGAAGCAAATTCTTTTGGATGTGGTTGGTGTGTCTTTGGAATGCTATAATAGACACACCAAGGTTGATTTATGCACATGTACACAGATTTCATGCTTTTTAGTCTCCTTTATTTGCCTTTCTCTAAATAATGTGCATGGAATATGCCTTATTACAGAATAACTCTGATCATGATTTGAAAATGTAGAAAAGTGCCTATGAGGTAATGCTAGTAAGGCAAATAAGGTGGGTAATTAGATCTGTTTACTATATCACCGGTAAGCATTTTATATACAGTTTCTTATACCTCAGATGTGTTTAACCTTTTTACAATCAACTGGAAATAATGTTCGTTCACCATAGCCACTGATGGGAACTTCCACAACAAAATAATGCTTATACCCTGAACACACATTTAACACTTTGCCATTTCTGGTAATAAACATGGAACACATGGAAGTAACTTTAATTTAATTGGATAGCTTTATTTTAAAAAGAGATGGAAAGTTTACAGAGCAGTATATAAATCTTAATATCATTAGTTGCATTTGCACTAAATGTGATGTATTTTGCAATTCTGTAAATAAAAATTACACTAAAGATACTATTTGTAAAGAATACATTTTACTTTTAGACAAGTGGTGTCACTTCACTAGAGCTAGTCCTGCCCAATTGATCGCCAGAGACTTCTTGAAGGATTTGGCAAGAGCTAAAAGTGGCATAGATGTATTTCCCAAGCAGCTGAGAAGATTTGCCAGTCTATACCAGGCAGCTGTTGTACCCCTTTGAATGCCACTCTTTTCTTCCCCTCCCTTTTAATTGGCTCCTTTAAATGAGCCGGTCCATTGATCTGATACTCATTCTGCTAATTAGTGTCTTTCTTTGCCTTTGATAACTGTTGAGCAGATGCTCCAGTCCCATTTATTTACTTTTGTATCAGCTAAACTGTAAAGTTAAACTCTGTGGATGCAGAACCATCTCCAAAAGTGGCTTTATCACCTCAGCATCTGTTGTTGCCTTGAAAGCCTGAATCTGCCACTACAGAAAAATATTTCTACCATATGCTGGACTTCACTTCTTTTTGTTTAAATGTGGGGGAAAGGAGAGCTAGAAAGAAGGGCTGTTTATTTTGATGAACTTGTTAAATCATGTTTATTTTATGCAGTCTTGGGGTAGAGCAGGGCAGGGTGGGGGGAACACTAGTTCACTTTAAAAGAAGTTGCTCTTACCATATTGGGCTGAACTGGTTCATAAGAAGTTGTACTGGTTCTCCTTAATCAAATTGTCAAGTCAAATTTTCACCAATCTTTTTGTCAACTGTTGTATAGATGAAGCTGTATTTGAGTTGCCACTGTTCATCTACATACTCAAAACATGAATCAGTTTTTAGAGTATCTTGAGTGTGTAGAGTGTGACTGTTCTATGATAGCTTTATGATCCTGTTAACTTTAAAAACAAACACCTAAATGGAGTTGGCTCTTCCATGTTACAATCACAAATTTAAAAACCAGTATTTAAAAGTGAAAAGTATTAAAAGACATTACAAACAAATTTCTGCTTTGTAGTTATTTTTAATACCACTGTGTAGTTCATTTTGCCACCATTACATGATAATGCTAGTTACTAAAATTCTTTTTTATTACTGCACAATAGTAATTTTCTCTGGTAGTAAAGGGATACTATTAGTAACTATTGTCTGTCTGTATTGACAAAGTGATTTAGAATTTGTTAATAAATACAGCCAGCATATTCTATAGAGCTCAGCTGACATTTTTCAATTGTTTATGAATAATCAGTTTGTGTGTGCAATTCAATCACCACCAAAACCCCCCAGTAAGGTTGTGCTTGTGTGTGTGCATTTGCACACATGAACATGAGTTGTCTTCCCATACACGGTGGGAAGGGCACGTGTGAGAGGAAACCCAAACATTCCTGTACCCCAGTTGAATGATCATTTGATCTGAGCCATATGGCCAATTCACATAACACACTAAGGCACCCTGTGAATAAGCTATGCACAACATGGCAGACAAAAAATTTGCTCACTGTGGCTTGTTCTGCTACCTTCTCAATCAGTCCTCCAGCTGGTATCCTAGTGTCGTCCTCAGCCGAACCTGCCTTGTCTTTCCAACTACAGTCTGATCACTGAACTTTTTCATTCATTGCTAGTGTTCTTTCCTGAAACCTTGTACATGGACAATCAGTGTAGGGTTTTTCGTTTGTTTTATCTCCTTAACCCCAGAGAAATATGCAGTGCTGGGATTTTCAGTCAACATACAGGTACATGAGGGTGTCTCACATAGGTGGGTGCTTTCCCCTGCAGAGGAGGGCAGGGTGCATTTCAACGGAGCAAAGCTCAGGGAACCAAGGTTCAATTTGGATGTCAGGAAATACTTCCTGACAGTTAGGACCCCAAGGGTATGGAATGGGCTTCCACAGGAGGTGGTTGAGGCCACATCGGTGAGGGTGTTCAAGGATAGGCTGGACATGCACATGGTAGGCATGTCATGAGCGGAGCTGGCTGGAGCTGGGGGTCAGACTAGATGACCCAGGAGATCCCTTTTGACTCCCTCTGTTTCTATGAGAATGACTTGGGAGAACAGCTAAAATGCTTCCAAGCTTACCTTCTAGAGCTAGCCAAGGAGTTGGTGACCCAGCAGTGCTAACCAAATGGCCTGTGTCCTGGTGTGCGTATGTTCAAAATAGACAACAGAGGAAAGCTTTCTTTTAAAAGATTTATTCCTGAGAATAACTGGCTACCAATGAATCATTCCAGGTGCTGCACCTTAACAATCCTCAGTTGGCTTTTATGCATTGGTCATTAAAGGTTACAATAACACAGGTAACACTTTGAAATAGGCTACAGAAGTAAAAGTTACAATAGCGTGATCTTTCCCACTTGCATACCAAAGAAGATGCTGCGAAGGAGGGGGGAGGATGGGACACTATTACATAGCAGAGGAGGAGGAAGATGGGCTGGGCTGGTGGGAATTGCCCTTTGTTTGAGCTGCTGTTATCTGTCAAGTGCCAACTAGCTTTCTCTGGAATGGTGCCTGGTTAGCGTCAGCTGCATTTCAAGGATGACACATGCTGATTTCCAGAAAAGAGGGTTTTCCCCTGCCCCAGCGATGCGTCAATGATTGTATGATTTTACCTTTCTATTAAAGTTATACCTATTGATTTGTACATCAGCAGTGTAGCTCTGCTCTGCTTAGAATCCAGCTTCTCAGAATTACTCATCCCTGAAGCAAGAGAGAAAATAAGCCACTGAGCAGCCCCAGAAATCAGTATCCTGACTGAACAGCAAGAAAAATAAAATGAAGCTGAGGAGTTGGTGCCTCCGCTGGTGTGATGTGCTGAAGAGGAAGCTGATTGGCTCTCTGCTCTCTGGTGTGACTATCCCATGGTTACTGCCAGGTGGAGTCTGATAGGAAGAGCTCCTCGCTCTGCAGAAAAGATATAGGGTGATGCTGTCAGCAGTGGGGGATGGTAAAGCAACCGGTCTTTTGGCTCGGCACTTTTGCGTTTTGTTCACTGAAAAAATTCTGCAGTCATTGTTTTTTGCGTGGATGCGTATCTGCATCTTCCCCCTCCTTTTCTCTCATGCTGTAATCTAACTAGAGCAGAGCCTTTCCAAAGGTATCTAATAGTGCTGTATGACTGTGGAAGTTGATGCAAATAAGTGCTGTCAAACTGCCAGCTCGGATTCTATTTACATGTTATAGCTCACAGGGAGCATATCCAAACCCAGAGTTTCAGTTGTAACATTTAACTATGCTTGAGACTCATTTCGACACTGTTCATTTTTTAAATCATAACTGGCAAGAGTTGCACATTGCAGTGCCGGGATTATAGGCCGAAATGCACTGTGTATTACTTCAGAACTGAGCTCATTTGGATGAGGAAACAAAGGCATGGGAGCTCTGCATAAGCACTTGGTTTTTACATTTCTAACCTACCTTTCCACCCAGATCAGGTCACAAAGGCAGCAAACAAGCAAAAATAATGTTAATAGTGCCACATACACAAACTATTTGAAAGACCATCATAAAACATTTCTAAAAAATGGTACAGATATTTTTTTAAAATGCAAATACATTAAAAGGAACAGTAGCAGGAAAGAGTACAGAAAGTAATTCAGACACCACACTGCAAAGCCCTGCAAATAGTAAAACTCTTACCACTTCTGAAACTCTGCCACACCTGAGAGAATCCCGTTGCTTGTGAAATTCAAGAGGGAAGGAAGTGGCTCTGTTTCTGTTTTCTCCACATTGTGTATAATTTTGGGCACCTGTTACCTAACCTTTTTTCTAAGGTAAATGTTCCCAGTCATTTTAACCTTTCTGCTTAGGGCAGCCTTCCCCAACCTGGTGGCTTTCAGAGGCATCTGGACCTCCACTCTCTGAAGTCCCATCCAGTTGGGCCACTGACTGGGAATTCTAGGTGTTGCAGTCCAAACGTGTTTGGAAGACACAAGGGTATCTCTTCCTCTTTACCTCTTTATTACTAAATTTTGGAAAACACTCTAGGTCAGGGATAGAAAAATTGGTATTCTCCAGATGTTCTGGACTTCAGCCCCTATCAGCCCTAGTCAGCAAAGCCAATGGCGAATGGCCATGGATATTTTAGGCCAAAGTATCTGGAAGTTAACAATTTGCTCAACCTGCTTTGAATAAGCCACATATGACACCACAACGTCTTAACTATGCAGTCCATGTTTTGTTGTTGTTGTTGTTGTTGTTGTTAGTCACAAAGTTGCATCTGACCCATCCTGACCCCATGGACAACATTTCTCCAGGCCTTCCTGTCCTCCACCATCCCCCAGAGTCCACTCAAGCTCACGCCAACTGCTTCAGTGACTCCATCCAACCACCGCATCCTCTGCCGTCCCCTTCTTCTTTTGCCCTCAATTGTTCCCAGCATTAGGTTCTTCTCCAGGGAGTCCTTCCTTCTCATTAGGTGGCCCCAGTCCATGTTAAAAGTGTCTAATAATGTGGGAGCCACAGGAACGTACTACGACTTGAAGGCGTGGGTGCAGTGCTTTCTTAGAAAACCAGCACTTTGATTTTCTTTTGCAATCAAGGTAGGACATGTACATCTCAACTTGCCCATGGATTATTTATTTTGGAAAAACCAACTAATACTGATCTTTTAAAATTCCTTCCATTTGAAAGAGTAAAAACTAAGATCAAACAATTGCCTTTGACATAGATAATAAGAATTAACAGTAATCTTTATAAAGGACACGGAGCTTCTTGTTTTAAAGGAACTGTATTAATGTGATTCCCTTAGGTGAGAGAAGCAACTAATTCTCAAAGGAAACAGCATTTTCTTTGTAAGTAGGTACATGTACATTTATTTATTTATGAGCTGTCATTCAGCATAAACTCATTAATGATGTCAAGCTCATTACTTCTATTATATAATGGAAGTTATTCTATGCATTGCATTATTTAGCAGCCTTGGAAGACCTGGAAATTTGAAGGCACACCACTTTTTCTACAGAGCTTGTTTTGATGGTTGCTGATTGCACAGTCCTATGTAGTTTTGCTGAGATGTAAATCCTATAGCATTTAAGGGTCCTTATGGACAATAAGCATATGTATAGGATTGCTGTCTGAGTCAGTTTCTTGTTGCCTTTCTGCCGTTTGCGCAGGCCTTGCTTCACTAGGTGCTGAAATAGGCAGCATCAACTGCAGAGGAACAAACACTTGGAGATGCGCTTTTCAACTCTGGATTGGAGTACAACCCAATTAGGTCCAGACCACAGTGTCTTACCAAAAGGGATACATGGTCCTATCTTCTCAGTCACATGAGTGCCTGTTCCAGAAAACAGAGATAAGCTACAGATTGGTGACAAACTGTAGAATATGCAAAGTGCAGCTGCAGGTGCTAGTAGTAGCTTGAATAATACCCTGAAGCAGGCTTCTTTGCTGCCTCCTGTTTTGAATGAGAAAAACAGTTCTGAGATCTTAGACCTTGGTGAATACCTTTCAGGTGCTAGTTGTGACTCGTGTCCACACACTTGTTTAATAGCTTGAGGTTATTCCAAACCTGGGATTATGACCAGAATTTGTAAACCAAAAACAACCCTTGCTTTAAAGCTGTGATGTGAACCATGGGGGGCAGGGGTTGTGGAATGCATATTTTCCTTGAAAATAACATCAATCATGATTGTAATCCACTTACAATAGAATGCCCTCAGGCCAATTTAGTGAAAAATAAGTTTTTTAAAAAATAAATCTGTTCATTCATGCAGAAGTTTTTGAAATTATGCGTGTGTGAATGGTATCTCCAGGGGAATAGAAACAGCAACTGGAGCTTGTGGGTGTCTGAGGCAAGAGCAGTTTTAGATCTGGGAGGCCATTTCTTAATCCATCCCTCAGCAATATGGATTAGCTGCAATAGCCAAGATCTTGGACATGAGCTTGCTTTACTTGGCTCAGGAAGAGTTTCGCATCTTGCTTCATATGTTCTAGGGTTGGCCCCTGCCAAATGGTGGGAGTGAATAATCTTGTATAGAAATAACACCCACTTACTTGGTAGCCAGC